ACTGTGAGCCTGTTGAAAGTCTCAACATGGCTTCCAGTTGGTTAGAGGAGTATTTTATTCTACAGAGGAGAAAAGAAGATGAGGGAGCTGGACTTAAGCTCAGCATAGATCGGCCTTAAGGACACAAATACAAGGAAGGAGCTGGAAAAGAAGAATGAGAAGGCACCATTAAGGACAGCAGGCATGGGAACCAGGTGTTATCTGGGCCATGAAGCATAATCTGCTGGAAAATGTTCTGCGGTCACCTGTTGCAATGAAGGGAACTGTGTGAGTGTGGAACTTCAAAGAGCAGTTTGCTCCGAAGATAAAAGGAATGGGAAGAAAAAAGCACAGCCTGCACATTATTTTTCTTAGCTTTGCCAAGATTTCAGGGGAGAGGGGGAAGATGACGACGGAAGTAGCCTGCCACCAAAGATGACCCTATAACCTTTAAAGTGAATTGTTTAAAAAAATGAAACAATTGATAACTTTGAATGCAAAGATTCTTGGGATGAGTGGTCCAAACAGTAGACAAGCCCCTAAAGAGGGTCATAAGAATTGTCTTCATTTATTTCACTCATGCACAGAAATGCCCTCTGACATGCAGGTTTATGCCCCGGATATTCACATGTGCATGTGTTCCAGCACAAAATTACAAATTTGGTTCCCCACTCAGTCCCTTGTTTGGCACCGCCAAGCTGACACATGGCATATTTGCAGCAGGGACTCTCTTGGTCAGGCCCCATGCATAGCAGAAACTGGGCTATAAGTCCAAGCAGAAGATATTTTTTAATAAGTTTTAATAAGTTTAATAAGTTTTTTTTAATGACTGGAAGTAGAGGTCAAATATGGAGGCATTGTCTATGAATGAATCTGCCTGTTGAAGAGGAACTGGGGATGAGCAGAGGGTTTTTCACATACATAACAGAAAATAATCTTTGTAGGATTTGAAGGAATGATCACAACTTTTTTGGAGAAATAATGGGAAGGAGCATAAATTACATCAAAAATAGCAGCTGCATTAAATCACAAATAGCAGCTTTAATGCGCAGCCACCCAAACAACAGGATGCTGGATGCACAGCTCCTCTCCTGCTCCCTGCTCAAAACAAAAGAAAAACACAGAACTGGACTGTTATTGGTAGCATGTGTTTTGTTTCCTTGTAGAAATTCCTGTGACCTCTCACAGAACAGACATGTCACTTTTAGCTTTTATGACCTTTTCATTGTTAGTCCTGCTACAGCTTTTCAAAAATTGCATTTCTTCCCATTCAGTTAGGGTTGTAATTCAGTTCACTTTCTTTTCTTATCCTATCAGACTGCAAGCCTATCTTCTGAGTCACTTGATATGAATTGTTATTTTACTCTACCCATGCTAAATTTAAAGCCCTTGCACTGGCTATCAGTTAATTACCAGGCTGTGGTAGTTCTGCATAGATAATTAGCCAGCAACATAACATTGGGCAGGTAGGTGTAGACCTAATTCTGCCACATCCAAATCTTTCTGTCCTTGTCCTTCCTGTGCCCTTTGTTGTTGCAGTCATTAACATTCCCTTTTTTCACAATAAAGAACTGTTACTTACAGTCTCTTACATATACCCTCTCCTTGCTCTTGTCTTCCCCTCAGTTCCAATCATCTACCTCTTCCCTCTCCTTTTCATCTCCTGAAGGGAAAATGGGGGATATGTCTTTATGCCAGTTGGGCAGTGATGCTGTAGGTGGAGATGGCTTGTCTGCAATCACCAATTACTGAGGAGCTTGGGCAGGTGGAGGTCTTGCCGCCATCCTGCTTGAGGGATCCTGTGGACAGCTGGCTTGCTACTGTGTGTACAGAGTGCTGGACTAGATGGACCTTTGGTCTGATCCAGCATGGCTGTTCTTATGTTCTTGTGAGTAGAAAAATAGAGCTACAAACAAGCACTCTGTTGCAGCAGAACTCTTGTTCTCTCGAAATTCCAGATCATTCCTTTCCTTGGTATACTCTATATGCCTGTTGGAGGAAATAAAAAAAGAACTTGGGCCATTTCCACTTTCTAGGTTAAATGTTTGAGGGTGCCCAAGTAGAAGAAAAACCCATGGGACACAGAGTTAGTTTAGCATCTCCAAGTTCTTTATGAAGAAAACTTGTCTGTACAAAGAAAAAGTTCTGTCCAATCTAACTGCACCTATGAAGACAAGTATGTTGTAAGCCGCCCCGAGGCTTCGGTGAATGGGGCGGCATAAAAATGTTTTAATAAAATAAATAAATAAATAAATAAATATAACTACATGCTAGGCCAATTGAGGAAGTGGTTGGAAATGTTTGGACCCTCACATGTGCTAAAATTCTAAAACCTTTTCCTATTGGTCTGTTGTAACGGAGTGTGGTCACATGACACAATTGGGGAAGAATCTGAAGGGACTTCTGTGGCTCACAGCCCTAAAATCTCTTGTCCACAGAGGCATGATGGCTTCAGAGAAGGCTCACATGACCCTCATTAAGTGAACCAAGGAGTAAAATGATCCCGGTCAGCTCATCCTTGTACCTGAAGCAGGATTTTTGACTAGGGCAGGACTTTGGGCCTGAAAAGGGGTGGGGCCACCTGTCACTTTGGAAAAAGGGGTAGGGTTTAGAGTTTGACATGAGGTAGCTTTTTTTTACTACTTGGACGGGTATGCAGGTCTCCAGAAAGTGCATCAGGCGCATTCCTAGCAAACGGCTTTCACATCCGCCAGCTGGGGATATTTGTACAACCAATTTATATACAGCTTCACTGTATCTAAAAGGACATCTTGAATCAGCTGACAACATAAACTTTTAAAACACAAAGCACTCAACAGTTTAAAATGTAAAACAGCATAGTAAAAATATTGAAATAAAAAATAAAACACTACTTAAAACATTAAAAACCAGGGGACTGACAATGAACTGGGTAATGCAATCACTCAGGGAAGGCCTATGTCAAAGGATAGGTCTCTAGCTTGTGACCAAAACACGCTACACTTGGTATCACCTATATTCCAGTGGGGAGGGCATTCTGCAAACTGGGTGCCACCATGGGGAAAGCCTCCTTCTGATTTACTACCACATGGCCTCTGCAGGTCTCTTCTCATCTTAATGATTGGTAGGATCTGTATCAGGAAAGGCAAGTTGACAGGAAACCTGGTTCCAAGTTGTTGAGAGCTTTCGATGCCAGCAGAAAATGTTGAAACTGAAATGGGTCATTATCAGCTGGCTGTTATCATTTATTTATTTATTTATTTATTTTTTGATTTATATCCTGCCTTTTTCCTCAAAGGACTCAAGGCAGCTTACATCATTCTCCTCCTCCATCTTATCCCCACAACAACAACCCTGTGAGGTAGGATGGACTGAGAGTCAGTGACTGGCCCAAAGTCACCCAGTTGGCTCCATGGCCGAGCGGGGACTAGAACCCAGGTCGCCTGAGTCCCAGTCTCATGCTCTTAACCACTACGCCACACTGGCTCTCTATCCTATCCTATCATTAAGACGATAATGTGGTATTCTGGCTTATATTAGGGAAGGTAGGATCCAAATTGACACCATCCGATTGGAGCAGCGTAAAACATTCCAAAAAATGCCTACTGGTCCCAAGTTTGAAGAGCAGTGCTATGACATGCCACCAAAGCAAGGCTGATATGCTGGAGCAAATATAAGACACAAGGAGCTGTTGTGAGGCATCAAGGAAGTGTGTTATTCAGTGCCTTCATGTGAAGCTGAGGGAGACAGCAGCTTGACTAGGAAGCCAGGCTGGAGGTGGGAAAGGCAGAAGCAGGAGAGAAAATATGGAGAAGACGCCAGAAGCAGCTCCTGGGGAAAAGCCAAGGCCTGGGTGACAACTAGTGGAGGCTCACGGAAAACTTCAAGGGAAGTCTGGAAGCCTGCTTGAAAGGTTGCAGATGGTAAGCAAGTACACTTCAAGACTGAGGCGAAGCTTGATAAGGGAACTGGATTAGGTTTCATTTGTGTTGAAAACGGTTAATTTCTATAACCTGATGGATGGTGACAGTAACAACATAAAAGCCTTGTTTTAAAGTAACCCTAAGTTTTTTTTTAACTAAAGTACATATCACTGATTTGTCAGGCCTGTGTCCAACTACCTTAGGCAAAAGGCAATCCAATAAATGTATGTAGTTTCACGGTGCAGCAGAAGAAAATGGGCAGATACTGCATCTTTTACATGCTGAGTGGCTCTTTCACAGGATATAATCAAATAATGCCTGATCTATGTTAAAAATGAATGAAAAAAGTGCAACATTCAGGACTCTAATGTCAGCGGGGCCAACAAGGAAAGTTTTACTGTGCTTAAATTGTGTAACAAATGTACTACTTAAGTACAGTAGGACTTGGTTCACACATCCATTGTGATGTACGAGTGGGAGACAGTGGGCACACTGCCTCCTGGGCACCTACCACTTTCACTGTTACATAATTACCTGTGACTGGCTCATGCTTGGGTTGTTAGTGCAATATCCAAACCCAGCCACTTTGGATTTGTAGGTGAAAGAACCTAAAGTTAACTCATGTTTTATTCTTAGGTTAACTTGGGAGTTTTCAACCCACAAATAACAAGGTGTCTGGGTTCGGATGTCACACTAACAGCCTATGAACATCTGTTCACAGACTGTTTGCAGAGACCAGAAGTGGCTTCCATGCAGACCTGCAAGTAACAGGCAACCAAATGCTGCATTATGTGTGAACAGACCCAGTAAGTCCTGTCACCTGCCGTCAGAGTGCTGAATCTGTATTTTCAGGCCACTAAGCTCATTTTGATTTTGTAAGTCTCAACAGGGTCAGAAATGGATCCCTCTTTTTTCAAAAGAAAGCCTTTTGGTTTCTAGGATACTATGGAGCCTGTTCCCAAAGTCTCTTTCAGCGATGGTATCCCATCCCACCGGGAAACATTAGCTGCACACACCACCCTCCCAGGGGACAAAAGGCCTCCAGTGTGCTGGGCCAGACAAGAATGTATCTGCAAACCATCCCAAAAGAGAATTAACTGACATCAAAGAGAAAACAGCTTTGTAGATATGTCCATAGATTTATTCTTTAAATCACTTTATATTTTATACTATTTTTAAAAATCCATCCAATATTCACTCACGCATCCCCTCCCCACTGAACCCAGCAAAGCAAAAAGCTGAGTTGTCAAGCTGTGTCCCAGCACCAGTGTCCCAGAGAACCCAAGCAGCTACTTGGTGCTAGGTTCATTTCCACCCAGGCTTCCACAATATTTTGTTGGTGAAAATGTAATTGAAACAGAGCTCATGTTATGGCTCTTTAAAATGCACCACAGAGAATGGGAATGGGGGGAAAACAAAGAGAAACTAGGCAAAATAGTAAAAAGCTTAAAACATTCAAAACAAAAAAGATCTGTAAAGGATTAGTAAAGGGCAGCAAAATGAGAGAAGAGCTGAATATATCCAGAGTGGGGGGAAAGAGAAGATTGGGTATTGGGGGGGGGGGTGCATTGCACAGAAAATACATCCAGGTTGGAGAAGAAAGCACCAAACGTGGGACAACTGTTCATCCTCCCCAGTCAGCAGTCCTGCTAGTTTGATTTTGACCAGATCTTTGCGCTGCCTCGGAGCCTACAGAGAAGGAAAAGGACTCAGAATGAGCACCAGCAGGAGTTTTGCACCATGCCCAAAGCAGGGGCTTTACAGACTCTACAGGTTAATAATCTCTGGCCCAAAATAAGGGCTGAGCTGCAGGTGAAACACTGGGGGACTCTCTGCTTTTCTGCCCCAGGTGCCAGAAGGCAACAAGCAGCCTTGCCTGGGAGTCTGTCTCACCCTTTGCCTTTGGAAGCCTTTTTGCTGGCCTGGCGCTGGTTGGTGCCCGGCACCGGCTCCCGCAGTTCTGATAGATGCTGTTCGGGATCCTGTGATGTTGCCGCCGCCGCTGCCGCCGTGGTCACCTTAATTGTCTTCTTCAGATTTGCCACCTGCTGGGGCAGAAAGGGGATGGAGGGGGAAGGAAAAAAGAGGAAGAAAATTGGAGTGCCGAAATAAGGCAGACTTTGTTCGCACACACAGAGATCATCAGTAACACTGAAAGTCCTCAGTAGGCATCCCTTCTACTCCAGCCAAATTCCCATTTAAGAGAGCTCTGCCTCCTTTCTACAGATGCTTATTTTACTGCTGTAGTTATGAAGTGGATACAAAACATACTTTGTTATAAACAAACATAATCACCACTGTGTGAGCGACATATGATTAAAAAATGAAATTTGATAACTGATATGGGGTTCAAGGCTGTGTCGCTCTCAAGGTTTCAGCAGTTGCCCTCTAGTGTTCTGAAGGATCACTACAGGAATGTCTTATTCAATCTGAGATTGTGTATTTGCGGAGAGGATGAGGGTGAAGATTTACTTCGCCATTTGCTGACTTGTCCTGTGTGTCAGTTGGGAAGACATAGGTATCTGGAACCAGATGTTTTCAATATTGGTCATTGGTCAATGTTTATTCTTCTGGGAAAAGAGGAACAGCCAAATAAACAAAAATGCAGCCTACTTTGCTTTCGTTGCAATGCATGCACATAAAAATTATCTGACAGATAAATTATTATTCATAGGGATTGCCTTTTATATTTTATCTGGGACACTGCACTAAAGTTATTGTAAGCTGCCCAGAGGGCTTCAATTATTGGGCAATACAGAAATTAAATAAAAATTGGTTAGAATAGTGGTGGCACCTAGAGCCATTTTTGAGAGCGCCAAATGTGCCCACGGTTGCTTACCTTTGCTTTATCTGTGACATAGCATTGCAAAGAGACAAGCTGACTGCACAATTTCTTCTTGCCATTCCATTTTGAAAAAAACCCCTGCTGCCCAGCCAATCAGAAGGCCAGCGAACAGCACCCACTGTTCTAGCAGGATATACAGCATGTAAGCCAAGGCAACATGAAAGATTGACAGGAAGTTGCTGGTTCAAATGGTAAATGCAGCATGTTCAAATGCAGAGTTCAAGACTCTGCTGCCACAGCCCTGCATCCTCACCTCACTTTCAATCTGCTGCTTCAGACCTAGCTGCTGCTCTTTGTGTTGATTAGCTCGGCTAACTTGTTCTTCAATACTGGAAAGGACCACCTCACAGCCCTGGCACCTGTGAAGAACAGGCAGAAGTGAACAGGCATGACAGAGGTCCACAAAGATGCTAAGACCAACCCCACATGGGAGAAGCAACAAGGCTTCCAGATGCAAAGGAAAGAAGCTTCAAATGAAGAGGAGAGATGAGTGATCTATTCACTTAAGAAGCATAGTCAGGAAAGAAGTGGCTAAAACAAACTGAAAGCACCCTGGTAGGACTGGGACAGCGAACACAAAACACAGGCTGCTGAGGAACTCAGGGTTAAACATGCAAGGCAACAACTCCTACACAGGAGTACCACAGACAGCAGTTTGCTAAGGTTAGAATCAAGGCTGCATGTATGTGCAATCCTGCAAATGTGAAGGAAAAATACTAAATGCAATTAGAGTTTAAGTGCTTGAATACCTCAGTTTTCATTTATAAAAGCAAAAGGAAAAAATAAAAGTGCAATTCCAGATTTTATGTAAAGTTTTGTGGGAAGGGGTGCGCTTGATGTCTAGTGAAGATTCAGAAACAGAGATGGGAAGGAGACTTCAACGGGTCAGAGAATGAATCCTCAGTGCTCTAGAGAGCTTCCTGTCCTTCTCTTGGTCCCACAAAAGCAGAATAAGTATCCAAAATAAACTCAGCATAATTGCTATGATTCATATTTGCCTTATATACATAATATATGCTGACCATAGCACTTATTTTTCTATGGCACCAAATCTTGATATTTGTAGTTATGAGGGCTACACGGCCAACACAGAAATGTGTAAGCTTTCAATAACTCTAGAGCTCATAATCAAACAAAATGTTATCATAAGCAGCAGGGAAGCTGACTTGGTTGTGAGGATATTTGCATAGTCAGAGTCTTAAGATGAGATAGTAGAGGAGGATTGGAAGATACAAGAACCCTCCTGCGCCCTATCAACTTAGGACTTTGTCTATTCAGATATCCTAATGTCAGCATCAAGTCAGATTCTTTCTTTTGCTCCCCACCAATCTGCTTTTTGTAACATTTTGACTGATGAAAAGATCCCATGAGCCTACCCATTTTTGTGATCTTTGAGTTGGCTTAATAATTGTGTTACACCAATACGAACTTTGGATTTTTTTTTTCTTCAGAAGGACAACATGGCGAACGTTGCTCCCCGCACTCCTGCAAAGTTCTGCTATTGTAGCCTTTGTAGGGAAGAGCACGATAGTGCATGAAGCCACTTGGCCAGCCTTACAACACAGCATTACATGCATCAGGAGAATGGTGTCAAAGCCAGCAATTTCAGGTCCCTTTCCTTCTACCTCATGGTTAGTAAAGGAAATGCATGGCAGATCATAATGTTATGCAGCCTCCTTGAGCAGCCAGCAGCGTAGAATCACAGCAGGAGAGGAACAGGCCCTGAAACCACTGATGATTTCTAGCACCAGCCATGAGATCAGCATTGCACCAAAACTCTCCTTTGGAGAAAACGCAAGCATAACATACCACCTATGTGGCAGAAGGGTTTGTGCTAGAGCTGTAGTCCCCACCAGCGTATACAAGCTTAGAGGGTCCTCCTTACCATTCCTGAAGGGTGCGGGTGATAGCGCTGAGCTCCTCCCTGCGGATATCCCTCCCGATACTGTAATCCACCTCCAGTCGCTGGTTGCGCTGGTCTAGGCTGCCCCGCAGGACATCTGCATACACCGCCTCGATCACCAAGTCCTCCAGCTGGCGCACATTCTTCAACTGGAGCTGTTCCAGCAACACCGAATAAGGGATGCACTGTGGGGCACACAGGTGGACGTGAGGTACAACTTCCAGAAGAATAAGGATAGGCAACAAAAAGGTGCATACACTACCTTAAGCTTGGAAGCCAACGTGACCACAGACAGATGGCGCAGTTTGTTCTTCTGAGCTTCGGTTAAGGGAGGCAGATTCCCAGCTTCAGCTGCTCTCAAGAGAAAGAAAGAATAACTATAGTCACAGCAGGCCGGTTCCCTCAAGTTCTTACCACCAGACTTGGAAAAGGCCCTACCCCCTCTTTCCATACACCAGCGTTCTTCCAAATTCCTCTTATCTAGTTCTAATAACAGTCTCAGATATTCTACTCCGAATGTCTTAACCAATTTTCTTCCTCTCCTTCTCTTTCTTTGCCCCCGCACCCCCGTAATTTAGTTAAGCATCCAGAAGAATTCCCCTTCTCCTGTTGGGATGTAGCTCCTGAGGCTACAAAGGCAAACACAGGCCTCCCCATTTCAAAAAGCACTCAGGGCTTGATGCTGTCCCCAGTGCTTTGGAGCCTAGTGAACAACAGAAGCCACTTCACAATGTGCTTCACATTCTCACTGCAGACATAACACAGATAGGGTAGAAAAAGCAGACCAAAGAAGGGGGGAATAAAAGAGCAGAGCCAGGTGATTGAAGAGATAATAGAGATCATCAGCTATCAGGCAATTTCAAACATACTAATATCTAGTGGCTCCATTCTGTATCCTCAGCTCCTGCTTCAGCACTCAGACCCTCTGCTTATTAATTCAGAATTCAGATCCTGCTTGATTTCCTGTTCCCAAGTCCTGCCTGAGATTGGGAGAGGACCAGGCTACACCCAGTTTTTGAGGCCCTCCCACTATATGAAGAAATGCCAAAACAGGTTGCAAAGTTTGTTATCCCTTACAGTTTACTGTGGTTTACAGTTAGCAAAGTAACATGCTTAACATAAAAAGGAACAATGCAATATTTTGTACTAAATGTTCCTAGGGTTTTTTTTTATTTTCTAGCTTTTATCTGTGCAAAAAGACCAATTATTGTGGAAAGACATGGTTTTCCTACAGTGTCACAGTTTATAGCAAAGCTATTCCAACAATCTTAGCCCATAATAGAATGGTAGCAATTCTTGACCTGCTTTAGCACATTCAAACTTGGGGCACTCCATGAATGTGAGGCCCAGGCCAAATGCCCCCTAGGTCACCCCATGCTAGGCCTTGCCTGTAGCCTTCCTTCTCCCTTAATAGGCTCCTAAGGAAAAGAGGAAACATACCCAGGTAATCTGAATACGTCCCATATGCAAAGACGGTGAGCAGGCGGAACACAGGGGAGAACTCACTGTCTGCAAGCTGTAGAAAAGGGGTGGGGTGGGAAAACATCAACATTCAGTACAGACAATAGAAAAATGGCAAATGTCATTGTTGCTTGAAAAACTGGTGCTAATTTGCCCCCAGATCAGTGCTGATACAATTTTTGTTTCATTATTAACAAAATCAAAATTTTCCCTTGCTCTGCGACTGTTATGGGCCCATCCCATGAACTGCACCTGCACTCCAGATGGACAGCAACTTAGGTCTAGTTCTGCTTGAAGTGGTAAGCCTTTGTTTGGGCTATACCACTTTAGGCAAAGGTAAGGGCTTACATGATGGGAATGTTTTACCACTATTATTTAACAAATCTCCATACACAGGGATTACCTAAAAATCCCCTATGTACAGCATTTTTTAAAAACTCCCTGAACGTAGAAAACTATACAACAAAGAGAAAGGTCTAGTCTAGCCTGCTCCTGGACATGTTTGTTTTCTATGTGTAGAAATGTTTTTGCTCTTTAGAGGAGCATCCGGCAATTTGAGAATAAGCTACAGAAAAAAAAAAAAATTATCACCTCAATGAGAGCTAAGGCAAGGTATATACTCTCACAGTTTTCCCTAATGCAGTATTCTGGTGGCAGGAATGCTACACTTTACAGGTCCTGACAAGGAATCAAAGAAAATGCATTCCTTGTTCAGTTACAAAGCTTACTATGCAACCTTGGGCTGTTTTATTATTATTTTTATTATTTATAAAATTTCACCAGCCAAAAAGACTGTGTCTCAGTCTAACCTACCTGTCTTCCCCATACTGGTACCTTCCAGATGTTGTACACTCCAACTTCCATCAGCCCCAGTCAGCACAGTTCATTGTTAAGAATGCTAGGAGGTGCAGTCCTGAACATTTTAGAGGGCACCAGATTGGAGAAGACTGGTGCCCTATTATTATTATTAAACAATAATAATCTTGTCAGCGTATTATGAACATTTAAAAAGTCAAAAGCAACACAGTTATTCTGCTGATTGACCTGCATAGCAAGACTTTATTTTCCATATAAAGACATGATTCTGCATTAGTATCACAGAAAAATATTTTGGAAGAACACTGGACAATAGCTTATGGCAGTGCTTTTCAAATTTCCAACCTTAAGCGACTCCTCGCACTGACTTTGCTGCAGTTAACATTTCTCAGAGCACCGTCAAGGACTCTGGGAAGCATTAACAGGTGTATACACACTAGGTGAGCCTATTATCTGGCGCAAAAAAAAGTATGCCTGAGAATTTATTTATTTATTTATTTAAGGCATTTTTACCCTGTCCTTTACCAAAGTCTCAGGATGGCCTCATACATAGAACACACACAGAGATCCTGATTTGCCCATTGGGAGGAAAGACTGGGTAAGTCTCTCTGTCATTGTTGATGACCCTCACTGCCTACAGAAACTCTGCATATCCACAAAACACATTTCAAAAGGCACTAACTTGTGGCACACTTTCTTTGGTGGCCTGCGATCTCCATTCACCAACGGTACACAACAATTTGTAAGAAGAAAAAGGAAGGAATTTACTAAAGCTACTCACTGAACATAGAACATGCCTGCTGAGGAGCACAAGCGGTGATGCCTTGACTTTGAAGGGGAAAGAAACTCTGAAGTATTTAAAACAACACTATCTTAGTCATCAGTTTAACAGAACTGAGCCCCCATTAAAGAAAGATATGGGGAGGTGAGAAGGGCCTTGGATTCCTTCAGCAACTTACATGGAGAGTACAATGTTGTCTAGGCCTTACCCACCCTTGCCCACAAGTCTCAGAACTCACCTCTCGAACATTGGGCATGTCAAGAAGTTCCCCAAAAACATAAATGCCAGGGGCTTCCAGTACTTGATGGATAAGGCTAGCCAGGGCAGCTCCACGGGCAGATTTTGCCAGCAGCAGGAATTGCTCCTGGTTCTGCCCAGTCACCTTCACCTCGGTTGCCATGGAGTCACCAAATCAGTCTGCTCCAGGGTGAGGCTGCAGCCCCCACAACCTAAGAGAGTAAATAAGCATGGCATCTGGAGCGTTTCTTCTCACACTTTTCCTAACAAAACCAGCCCCAGATAAACTTGTACATTTACACATAATTGAGTTGCTATAGCAATTGCATATTTACTTATTGATACATTATAGACCATCCCATAAATATCTCTCTGGGATGAAGTAACAACATAAAATAACAAATGTAAAAATGATCAAAACATAGTAACATAATATGAAGCATTAATATACATTTCTGATTCCCAGGCATATCTACTCAGACAAACAGCAGCAAAAGATTAGTTGCAGGAAACAAGGCTGATCATTTAAGGCAGTAGAAACAAACCCTCCACCCCACTCACTGCATTTTTAAGTAATTGCTCCTTACAAATCAAGCAAATTAATGAAGTATATGAAATCAAGCAGGCCTAAGACGTACAGCTAGACATTCAGGGCTGGTTATGCATAAAAGTAGCGAAGAACATTATGACAGATCGGTATGTGTGAACAGGGCCTGGTTTGGGTACTGGACGGAGGGTGGTCACCGAGACAGCAAGAAGAGAGTAATTTAGAGGGGCGACAAAACGAGGGAAGGAACTCAGCACCAACAGGAGCAGCGTAACGGGTTTGCGGAGGGGGGAGAGCAAGAGAAAAAGGGTGCCGGCACCCCTTTCAGACCCATCAGGTTCGGGAAGGAGGGACGCAGCAAGCCGGGGTGGCCCAAGCACGCTACTGCACCCCACTGCACGCCCCAGGGGCGGCCACGCGGGACCTGCCCCAGCACCTCTCGGAGCTCTGCCACTCCGCCCGCCCGCCCGCCCCTCGTACCCGAGGGCGTCCCTTCTCCGCTGGCAGCCGAGGATGCTGGGGAAGCCTCTTGTCAAGAGACGGAGCGCTTCCGGGTTGGTGGCGTCACGGCTGCCCTTCAGGCACCGCCTCCTTGCTTGCTCATTGGCCAGGCCCCCTTGATGGGCACTCCCCGGCCAGAGCTCCCTGCGCAGCTACATTTCGCCAACGTCGGACTTTCCTCCGCCGAAAAGCCGGCTCGGCCGCCGGCAGGACGGAGCACCGCCCCGGGGCGCCTCCTGCAGCTCGGGCTGCTGCCTCTCGCTGCGGGCTCGCCGGGCCGGGCCGGGCCGGGCAGCCGCTTCTCCATCCTCGAGCCGGCAGCTCCCCGTGGATGGCGCTCTGGACGCCGCCGCGTCACGGTTCCTGCGGAACCGGCGATTGGCCTGTGCAACTTCATGTAGCGCCTGCAAAGTAACAGAGAGTGAACATCGACGTGGGGGTGGGAAGAGCAATTCCCCGGGTCTGGACCGCGCTGATCACCCAGCAGGGAAATCTCAGTTTTTAAAAGGTCTCCTAAAACCCCCTTTTCCCCGCTGCGCCCCGTACATTGTGGGAGAAGGAAGGCAGCGCCGCATGCCCGCGCACATACACGCGGTGACCAAACCAGGAAGAAAAAAATCTCCAAGTCTTTTCTGTTGTTTAGAACTTTTCTGTTGTTATCCCAAGTCTTTTGAGAGACTTTGGCTCAGGGCCAGTTGTCATTCTTCAGGTTCAGCCAGTGTGGCGCTTATCTAGCCATTGCAAGTGGCCAAAGGTGCAGTGCGTGTCTGTTCTATCTGTTTCTCATTGCTCTGCAACCCTGAAGTTCCTGATCTGAAAAAGCCGTGTCTGTTCTATCTGTTTCTCATTGCTCTGCAACCCTGAAGTTCCTGATCTGAAAAAGCCCTATGGGAGGAATTGCCTCATGAGGTCTTCCCCTCAGCTTTAATTGAGATGCAAGAAGCCGGGGAGGCAATAGGCTGCTCACATTCTTTGGACACTTTATTAGTAAGGTTAGCTCAAGAACCCTGAACACAACCCATGGGCATTTCTCTGAATTAGTCCTTTATGGATGTATTACAAAGGTAGTTCCTTTTAGGTGCATCTGCCCGACACTGGGTCAGAACTGTGGTCCATCCAGGGTGGTTGACCCTGGGTAGAGTCATAGAAAAGTAGGGTCAGAAGGGGGCCATCAGGTGCAAGCTGCTGCTGGTGCAGGACTCCCAAGTCACCCCACCCCACTCCAACTGCCCTGTTGCACCATGAATGTCCCTAATGTGGGAGAGCTCACAACCTCTCTTGGCAACTGGTTCCACTGTCATATTGCTCTGACAGCGTTTTTCCTGGTGTCTAGCCTGAATCTGGTGTGCTGCAGTTTAAGTTCACTGTTCTGTGTCCTAACTCAGGGAGAAGAGGTCTTTTCCTTCTGCTTTGTGGCAGCCTTTACTTTTAGAGTGTTCTTCCTTTATTTTTAAAACTTTCTAGATCATCCCTTACTGTAGTCTTGGGATGGTTTAACAATAAGACAAAATAAAACACAGCATCTTAAAATTAACCTGTATGATGTACCTATCATGTCCCTTCATAGTCTTCTAGCAGCAGCTCTCCAATATTTCAGGCAGGATTTCTTCCTAGCCATACCCACAGAGGCTGGAGATCAGGCTCAGGACTTCCTGTGTTCATGAGATGTGTTCTTCAGAGGTAGTGCCCCTGCCTTGATTTTCTATCAGAAGGAATGAGGATGCTAAAAAACAACCCCAAAAACACCAACCCACACACAAATTTTCAGCATAGTCTTAACACACTTAGAAGCCCCCTCCCCTTGTGCACACCCCCTTTTACTGGACAAGGCGAGGGGGAGTGAAGTTGGCTCCAGACTGTGAGGGATTCCCCCACCACTTCCTTCTGTGACTATGAGCAAAGCCTGCTCAGATGGGACCTCGAGGAGCTGAGCCCGGCGCTGGCTTTGCCTTAGAGGGCCAGATGGGCATTTGGCCTGTTGCCGGAGAGTCCCTTTGCCGAATGAACAAAGTCTTTATTCCCTGGACTAGTTTTTTTTAAAGACTCCAGAATGAAGTGTTTCAAAACACAAACAATGTGCCTTTCATTTCAGACAGGAAGCATTTTTAAACATGGGGATGACATTCCTTTGGGCATGTACAGAGTACTACCCTCCCTCTGCTGATGGTAGTGGGTTCATGGCTCAGGGACAGGGCACATGCCTTGCATACAGAAGGTCCCAGTGTCAGTATCTGACAGGTTGCAACCCCAAGGGGCCTGCAGTCTAAAACTTGCATAGGGAAGTAGTACAGCAAGACGGAAATGGAGGCATGAGAAATGGGTAAGATTATATAATGTCAATGGCATATACTTTTGCATAACCATAATAAGGAAGAATTATGCAAAACAACAAAGGTGATAACATGGAAGCATTCTGGAAGGCAATTCCAGGCATAAAAGGGAGCAAGAGGAAAAGGGCAGAAAGAATAAATATCACCGAAAATAGTGAGACTTTATAAACATTTGCTCCAAGTGCAGTGTTTTGTAAATGTACCCCTGGATTCAGGAAACAAAGTATTTGAATATACATGGACATGTAAAAGAGAATACAGCAACTCTTTTATTCAACATGATTGCAGAATTACAGACATATCCAAATAAGTAGTATTTGTAGACAAATCTATGTAGATGCAAGTGTGCATACCTGTAATTATTCCTGATAAATGAATTTTCTTCCATGGAATACTTGAGTCAGGCTCCAAATCTCTCACTTTCAGCATTATGCAGAGTTTGCTGTCTGAGGCAGCTGTCCTAATTTGCTGTGTGATAAGGCAGTCTTTGAGATGTGTGTGCGGGGGGGGGGGGGGTGTCCACTAGACACACATACAACACCAAGCACTAGCACAACTTAAACATGTATGAGTTCAGGTCGCAATGCCTACATTCAGCAATCCTGAAAAATCATCTTTTCAATGACTTCTCTTCCTTTCTCCGGGATGGAAGCCCTGCTGGTCTGTAGCCGCCAAAACAACAAAGAGCTCAGTGCTATCTTAAAGACTAGCAGATACATCGTGGCAGGAACTTTCAAGCCTTGACCTCGTTGTTGCTAAGCAGTGCCAGAGAGGGAAGTCCTTGTGTTGGAGCCCAAATTAACACATTGGTTAATACAAGCGGATCCAATCCAACAAACAGAACATTCAGTCGAAGTGATGGTGACATTACTCAAAAGTAGCAATCATGAATAAGCATAATGATAGAATTCTATCAAACAATGGGCATGTTCACAAATACTAACCCACCCAGGCAATAAGCCACTGTTCCTTGATCGTTGCGCAAACAATGCACAGCGAATCTGATAGACAAGGGGGTTCACCACGAGTCGTTTGCCTACTCGCTCCCTGTCTGCTGCTCAGTCCTCCCTTGCGTGTCCTGAGACACCAAGCTGTCTTCCTCCTGTTTTCAGCCCGCCAGAGTTTTTCTTTTCTGAAGGGAGATTGACCTCTGGCTTTCACAATCTCTAATGCTCTTGACTGCCACAAAAGTGCCCTGAAAGAGCCCAAGCAACACCTTGGAGGGGCTGTCCAGGGTTGGCAGAAGCTTTTTGAGTTTTTTGTGCACAAATGCAAAAAACAAAAAACCTCCAAGTTCTTTTTTATTTCTTAGCCTAATTTGCACAACTGCAAATCTTTGCAATTGCACAAGCGTGTGGATTGGAAGCCTTGGCTGGGCAGTGTCAGGGAAGAACATGCTGCTACGATGCAGTAGTTCCCAATCCTGGGCATTGATTGGGAAAGGCTCTCACCTGGGTTTCCCTTTGGTTTCTCTCGACAGCTCCCAAAAGCCAGTCTGTCAAAAGAAACCAAAGACATGACCGTCCCTTGTTTGCGAAGGCAGGATAATGTGTTTTGTGGCAAGCACATTGCATTCTTCTCTTGCATCTAGTCCACATGCTGGTGCAGAATTGGCACTTTTTCCTCAAGGCTCTAGCTGATACAGTGATCAATCCCAGTCACCAACCATCAACTGCCCCATTAAAATCCCCTTTATAAAGGACCCCCAGAATTGACAGATAGCCTTCAAAGGTTTTTCAAAAGAAAAAAGGGAAAGGGTTTGCTTGTGCACTTTCTTCAGCACCTGGAGACTCGGGAAAAAGTACAGCATGTGTGTCAGCATGTGGATTACGGGTGGGGGCGGGGGTGAACAAGATAAAGTTCAGAAACAAAGATGACTTGTGGCTTGCTTTCTCTTGGCTACTCATTTATTGACAGCTGTCAGGAGAAACCAGAGGGGGCCACAATTCGGAACCTCTTCCAGGAGGATGCCTGCCAAAAGTGCAGCAGGTACCAACCCTGAACATTGTCCCAGTCAAGGCTACAAATTCCCACACTTACCCAAGTGCAGTAAGCTTTTTAAAGAATTAATGTGGATTTTTGTGCAAATCTGTTTGTGTAAAGCAACAACAACAAGCCAAAAGCTTCTGCCAGCCATGGACGGTCCCTGCAAGGTGCTGTGTGGGTACTGTGAAGAGGCTGTGAGTAACTGTCAAAACAGGAATTCTGAGAGGCGGCTGTCAAGCCAGCTTTTGTGATCTTTGAAGGGGGAAAGGGGAAAAAAGCCAAAGGGAACCCTAAATGGCTTACGACTGCTGCCAGGAGCGTGGAAGCCAGTGTCACCTTCCCTCAAATGCCCCACGGGCCTTTTGGGGGCATCCACCCAGGTGCTGCTTAGCAAGGCAGCCACAGCCTTGCCTGAGCAGAGCCCTGCTTTCTTTGCACCTCCGTCACCCCTGGACCAGGCATTCCAGCCGAGGGCCCCAGCTGCTTCC